GCTTAACCGGAGTGTCACTGCGCGCTGCCATTATTTACACTGATCCTCACGAAAAGCCAAGGGATTAACCCAGAGCTCTCAAAATGAGCGTGTGGCAGCGTTCCAAATATGAAAACAAAATATGCTTCGCCAAGTTGAGAATCCATAAAAATTGCTATAATTGCATAAACCTTCTTAAGAAGAGTAAGTAAGAGTTTATCAAGAGACATTTTTTTGGATTGTTCCAAGTATTCTTACTTTCAGTAGTAATCTAAGCCTTATGCATCTGAATGTGCTTATATAAAATGTACCTCTCCCTGCCATCATTATTAGTTCGATAGATGCGAAACCTTTAACCAGGCAATATGGAAAATGCGTACCGAAAATGATCGAATAACTAAATGATTTTACAAAACATTCTTTGTTATGAATAGATTATTTGAAAATATGAGACAATCAGTCTAAAAATGCCAAACGCTCGAATGAAAAACTTCGAGAATATAATAGGTTCTCCCAAAGGTAAACCGTATTTTTAAGTAAATCACACTATTTTTGTTTTCCTGGCAGACTTGGAATACCATTCAATAGATCGAAGCAAGCTATACACAACGACCGCAAAAGATCTGTCTATGTCGTAATCCAGGTAGAGTATGGAGCAAAAATCGAAAAAAAATTTATCACCTGAAAATTGGAATTTTGCGAAGAATAATTGTACGGAACTCAAACTTGGTCGTTATAGGCAGTAGAACGGCAAGATCCAACTACTCGGGATTTTAACGCGGTAGGTTCCTTATCGCCCAACTATGAAAACAGTGCAATCCCGGCTGCACAGCATGCATTTCCTGCCAAAAAATCGCTCTCAAACTTACACGCGCAGGCCAATCTTACACGCATCTGGACGAATTGGCAAAGTCCTTCTCACCATTGGAGTCTGCCCGCCGCAACGCTATAACCATTGGGTCCTGCCACGATTTAGCGTCATCGGCCGTGCTCCACTCGTCCAATATAAAAGGGGAGGGAATTAAAAAACACTCATTTTTGCCGTTTTCAAGCTTTCAAAAGTGATTTTCGAGATCAGCGTATTGAAAAATCCCAGGTAAGCGCAAATTTGACTAGATTGAGATTTGCCGAGCCACTGCCTTTATACAATAGACACATAGTAGTACTCATATATGCCTTTACTGGATTTTTTCCGAGCTTAGAAAGTGAGAAAGAAGAGATAGTCTCAAATGGCAAACACCGCCCCAGCCTCTCCCATATATGTCATTGTATACTACAAGCCTTGCTAAAGATAATCTTAAATCTTGTTTCTGTAGGTGCTCTTATAATCGAGAAATACCAAGTTTTACATGAAAAACCCGAAAAAAGTAGCATTTTGGCACTTTGGGACCATCTTTATTTCTCAATTTGCTCAGGAAAAAATCAACAAAAACATTTTTCGGTACTACTACATGTCTACTACACAAGGATCAAGTTGGAAGTCCGTAGGAATTTTCTGGAAAGAGATCCGATTTTTAGGATAGCTGAAAATTTTGATTTTGGATCCAAATTTCACCTGATCGCGAGACGGTTCTCTGGTGGTCATTTTCAGGGTCAAGCGTGGGGTGCGGCACGCCACACCTGGGGGTCGTATTGAGGAGTCAAAAGGGGAGGGGGTCGTAGTTGAGTAATCTGATAATAGTGATAACATGATATTCGTATCATATCCATAATTAGCATGTTAACCCCTGTAGACAAAGTGTGAGCGAATTCTGAAGATTCAAGATACTAGGCTACCTAAATGAAATGGTCAAATTCCAACATGGTTAACTTTGAAAGGTGAATTAGCTATCCGTTTTTGCACTCAAAACAAAGCACTACTCCTTCTTTGTCCACCTCAGGAATCCCGCTTTAGAAGACCTGCAAACTGTGGAATTAGAAGCCAACCAAAATCTCGTTTTTCCCATTTTTCGCTTTTGATCGCTGTGCTTTCACCAAATATTACTTAGAGCTAAGAAGACAAATCAGGCTCCAAACAGTCCTATGGAATCTACAAGGTTTAGGCTATCGATTCATATAGATATTGTCCGCTAAAAATGTTTTTTAGATATATAGTTAATGGGGTGCGGCACACCCCCTTAAAAGCTGCGGCAGCCGCAGCTTTTAAGGGGGTGTGCCGCACCCCATTAACTTGCCTTCAAAATCTAGAAAGCGCTCCATTGCTGGTATGAGTATTGAGCACATAGCTTCTTCTTGCTACACTGGAAATTTGGAGCCGAACGCCCCACCCATAAGAAAATTGTGGCCCTTTCAATATGCCCATTCAGATCAAAATCAGCCGTCAAATTACGTGTGATTGTAAAGTGCAGTCACAGAAAATCAAGCGCACAGCTCTCAGAAATCTGAAAACTCTCTAGAAAAAGATGGTGTCCTCAAGAATGTCACACTTTGAGGTCCAGAGGTTAAGAGGAGGAAGAAGGGGTCGTTTGAGGGCTTTCATGGGAGGGGGGGGGGGGGTTTCGAAAAACGTGCCTGACCTCTTTCTCAACTCTGGTAATGCTATCTTAGGTATATAGTTTAGGAGTTCAGGGGGGGGGGGGGGTCTTATTAAGACAGCAATCAGGGGGGGGGTCGTAACCAGCGATCGTGTGCCACACCCCTTACTTGACCCTGGTCATTTTGTAGTTTGCTTCGCTCTATCGAATGGTGCCCCAAGTCTGCCAGGGAATCTGATTTATTTAAAAATTCGGTTTACTTTTAAGACAACCTAATAATTTGTGGTTACAGCGGTGAGCCCACCACTACCAAAATCAAGGCTTGGATATAAAAGCAAGACCAAAAATGAGCAGAACCACTTGTACCATTCGGCTATTTTGAAACCGTACTTGAAAGTGCACTGATCTTGAGGGTTTCTCTCAATCGACTTTAAACGCCGCCATAAGCCAATAATGTTTTTGCAGTAAGCATCACTGATAAGCGCATAACTGTTTCTCCAAATTTGGCAAAATTAGAAAAAAGCTCAAATGAAAATTGAAGCCAAAATGCATCAACTTAATAGTAAACTTGCTTCCGTGATTTATGAATTCTAAATACAAAGACTTTATGCATAACATCGGCAGTGCGCATGATCCTCTATCACTTTCCAGTGGCCAAATTGTAGAGAGCTATTTTACAGCTTAGCACTAGGGCACAATCCTAACAATCTGTGGGCCAAATAACAACATTTTGTTGCGTTTACCTAATTTACCTAACTTACAGAAGCTGTCAAGTCTACGAGTTAATTACTCTCGTAACTTGATCCCTCTACCCTTGTTTCCTGCTTCTTAACATAACAAATCTTGACTAGATGATTTTATCATTATAGCATATATATATAAAATTGGGGACATTGATGGGGAGGGGACCACCGAGCACCCGGGGAGTGCCACCTCATCTGGAGATTCTGGGCACCGCCCAGTTGGCGTGGAGATGTCGGACCATCTAATTAGTCTGCGTCTCGACATGTCCATTCCATTGTAAAGCTCGTCCCAAGTTTTCATCTTTGAACCATGGCTTCGGAAAGGAATTCATCTAGCATTAGATCATCTCGGAGTTTACGAATTGACCATTTGACCATCATCAACCATGCTGTCATCATTGTCATCATCATCGATCGCGCTATCGTCATCGTTACCATTGATCGAGCTTTATCGTACGTCGTCTCATCACTGATCGAGTTTTTACCATATCATCGTCATCTATATCGATTGATTGCTGGACAATTGATGGCGCTGCTTGCTCGTGCATTGATCATCTGCGATTAGCATTCATCTTCGAAAACCATTCATCTTTTTCGTTGTTGCTTTCGTGGGGATCGAACTTCGTTGGCTGGATTTGCATCTGCTGGATTGCGTCTTCACGTTGCATAGAGGAGGAGCCGGTAAGAGACAAGGTAAACAGAAGGGCGAAACGCCAGAAGGCGAAGCGCACGCTTTCGTACGTCCGTCAACAAAGTAAAGCTCGTCCTCGAGCGGAAGACATTTGGATTAGTTGCAGAATAGGATAGTTATTCAAAACGGATTTGAATAAGAGGATCATTTCCGTGGGGATATGAAGGAGGGATGAAATCACACACAATAAAATGGTATAAACATTACAACAAGTAAAAATTCAGAAGTAAAACACGAAATACTGAATGAAAAGATAGAATGTGTCATTCTATGTTTTCGTCACTCATAAATATTGACATAAATGCATTGAAATTTCACAACATTTGGTTCTCGAGTTCACAACTCGAGAGGAAACAATTTCCTAGCGTTGCTCACAAGGGCGTGAAGAAAAAGTGAATGTTTGAAAGCGTTCTTTGACCCGCCAATCGAAGAATTCTTTCTTTTTATAGTGCGTATGCTTGCGGCAAACTTACTTTGTACAAGTAGCCGCTGCGTTAATGAAATTTTGTGAGGTTGCTACTAGCACCTCTCACTCATTATGAGGGAGACTAATCGAAGCAAACGTAAATTTGTTGCGCAGTAATTACTGCCGTAAATTCGAGCAGCAAAATTAAAAAAAGAAAAGGATTTACTTCTTGTCTGTTGTGCTGGCTTTTGAAACTATGCTACGGACCAACAATTTACTGTTTCCCAGCCTGGCTCTTCCACCAGACACATTTGACACAACCACGCCTTGGATTACGCTACAGTCTCAGCACGAATGAGGTGAGCCTCATGACATCATTTTTTAAAGCTAGGTGCATAATAAGTGGCCCATTAGAAAAAGGTTGAATTATTTTTACTACTTCTTTGATCTGAATATTTTTCGAGAATTCTATGTGACGGATATCTCCAATGGCAATAGGCCGCATAAGCCCAGTGGCTAAAGAACAGAGCAGTTAACGATAATTTATATGGAATTGGGTGTGCGATCGTTCAAAGCCTTTCACTTCTCCTTCTTCCCTTTTTCGACCACCATTTGCTTGCGGAGATATGAATGAATGTTGTTTATAGTAACATACACACGACAACATGTTTACCAGAGGCTTTAGTACCAAAATTGCGGTATGACTTCAGTTTTCTTTAGGGTGATTCAACATCGGTCGAGCAAGTCTGCTAACTAACGATGGGCGTACGTCTCCTTGTATGCAGAATGGCTGAAGCTCATGTGTGGATGGATTGCAGAGCAAGGGCGGCGAAGCTCCAACTATGGATGTAGAGATCCCGATGGAAGAGGGAGAGCCACTGGGAGCAACGCCTAACGACAAGCTTGTCATTACCAAAGTACAAGGTGGAACTATTGCTGACGGCAAACTTAGGGTCTGTTCACGATTTCGCGCGAAACTTTGCAGCAGACACTCAACTTCGTTTACAGATTGGTGATCAGATCATCAAGGTTAATGGTCAATCAATTTCTGATCAGAACAGCTTCTTTAGAGCGCTTCGCTATGCTCCACCAGTAGCTAGACTTACTATTATCAGGTAAACCTCTACTTTAATCTGCGACATCAAAGTCATCTCAAATATTTTCAGAGATGAAAAGAAAGCTGAAGAACTCGAATCACGCATTCGTATACCAGAAGCACGTGCAAAGCTTATTCAAAGAAGAGATGGATACATTTACTTCGTTGGTCTTAGGAGAAGCACTTGAGCGAGGAGTGGTCCCCAAAGGGGACCATTTCGCGAAAAAGGCCCCTTCGCGCGACATTTCCAGCGCCTAACTTGCGTGATTTGTCTTAACACGTCGCGCAAACGACGTGCCGCCGCAAGGTGTGTCGCTCGCGACAACGGTCTTGCATAGTATTTTACGGTCGTGCGAAGCGGCCTCCTCACCTAGCCTGTATCCTCTAGCGAAGCGGATGTACTCATTTTAGCTGGCAAAACTGGTATGGGTACCAAGTGGACCGAAACTCGGATTGGGTATCAAGCACTTCCAAAACCGTGTACTAGTATCACGTTGTGATCCTGGTTCACTGTCGGCCACACAATTAGCGGTGGGTCAGAGTACCAAATGAAGGATGTGGTCCCGTCATCCTTGAATCCTAGGTTGGAGATCACATAATCGACATTGACGGCGTACCTGTCACTGATAAGGATGTGGCAAGAGATTTACTGATCAAAGCTTTACAGGTGCTGTTTGTACTTTTCTGTTCGAAATGTAATCTCGCTTTACCTTCCAGGAAAAGAGAGAAGTCTCATCCGTCGTGGAACGTCCCGACACGATGGAGGCGAAACATTGGACTCAACAAGCTCTTGTGACGCAAGTAATGCCTATCATCCCTTCAGTCGAGAGAGTCTACAACCCCCTACAAAATTTCAGATTAATCAACCGCCATCCGTGCAAATGAACTCAGATGTGCGTGCCATAGCAGCAAGAGAGCGCGCAAGAGTAAAGAAACCTAAACCGGTACTGCAAATTGATTTTCTTTGAAAGTTCTCTAAGTCGTATAATGGGCATTGCAGCAACCGAAATCCATCCTTCGTCAATCGACAAACACAAAACCGATCCAAATCAATGAGGAAGTGGCTTCACATATCATCGCATCTGACAATGAAGGACGTGCATTGAGACCCGTCAGAAAGTAGATGAAACTCAAATAGATAAAAGATCCAACAATTGTTACCTTGACTTCGGATAGATACAAAATCTTGCGAGATTCCTCAAATGTTCGATGCACTAAAGTTAATCGAAACACATCGTGGACTGACAGCCGCGGCCTACACGAGTCAACTAGACATCCAGTGCCTCGGCGTTGTTCATGTTTGTTCAACCAAGGTTCAAACTTCAGCAATCCGATATTCTGGAGAAAGTTGCTCACCTTCCCCTCTTTCTGTTTATCTACCACACACCATTTTCTGGCATGCAGCATGCTTTCATACTCTTCCGGCACGATTTTCACCCTGTACCAGGCTTTCGCCTTCTGTAAAAAGGATAGCCATCAGTCCCTCTTTGGGTTTCGCGTATTGACTGCGAGGGTAATTTGGTACACTTGCCTTCTTTCATGCAAGGCGACCTCGAGTTCAGTGGTTCGCAAGGCTTGTAAATCAATGATTTGAGGACTACATCGATTAGAAGAAAACCCTCTTGATTGGAAAGCTCCGCCGATGAGATGTCGATCTGATCTGGGCAAACTTTCTCCTTCAACCACGCTGAGATGTTGGTAGCGGAAGATCGCGTTTCTGCCATTTCACAGTACTCATCCAGCATTACTGTCTCCGTAGGCGTGACTTTTCGTTCACGTCTATAAACTTCGTGAGCTTTTGCTTACGGGCAGCGTCTCGACAAAATGATTAATAAATAAAGAATAAAAGATTCGCCGTCTTCAATACCCTCTGCAGGCATGCGCCGAACGCACACTATTATACTTCATAGTCGATGAGGCAATTGTATGCGTGCGAGCCTATTATAGTGACTTGCGGGGGCAGCCGTTTACCAAGTCAGTGCTTTTATCCTCCCATATTACCCTGGTACCAATTTACCGGTCCCGGAAGGTAGAGGGCTTGGTTAGCCCAGGGGCGGGGATCGGACCTGCATCCGATCTAGTTATAGCGGCGCCTCATACCACTACGCCACTTGTCCCACGACAAAATGATGGATACTGAATTCACAGCTTTGTAGTGGTAGACCTCCCAAATAACCTATTAGCGAAGTCTGGAGCGAAAAAACGCGTCTGAAAATCCTAAAGTCCACTTTGAAAGCGTTTCGAAACCCGCCCACTTACATGCATTTTTTTTGGCGAATGCGGATGCAGTCTTGCCATTTTCGTGCGCGGAAAAGTTCAGGCATGAGTTCAGCATAGCGAAAAGGCCCCAGAAAGGTAAAGGAAAACTGGCGAAGTTTTGCCGGGACTAAAAACTGGAGTTTTGCAGAACACTGCCTTTGAAGGCAGTGGATCGACAAATGGGCTCTTCCAGGATTTTGGTGGTGCTAAGGATAGACGTCCCAAGTACACTGTAGCCCAAATCCCACCTGCCAATTCATGCGCTGAGTTCTGGAAAATGCTCTTCAAAAGTCTACCGACCCGACTTAGCAGAAGTGGTCGGGGGGCCAGGACTTAACGCGAAGTGGCAGGTGGAATTTATGCTAGTGTACTGGGGTCTACTACCTAACACCACCAAAATCCGAGGTCCCTTTTGCCGATTCACTGCATTTGAAGACCCGCCGTGATGTCGTGGGATCAGAAGAAATTTCACCAGGGAGGAGCTCTTTCGCAATTTTGGTCCACGCCGCGCTGCACGTAAACGTGATGAACAATCCAAGACGCATGTGAGCTCTAATATAGGCCGCGGCGTCCTGGGTGTACTCATGTGGCGTAGGCCGCTCATGAAGGAGGATGGTAGTATGACCAACCGCTGAAAACCCATGACATTGCAATCTCCACGGCATCTCTAGCTGGATATAGTCGTCTGCACGTAGCTTTCGCTGATTGCGTCGAATGAAAAGGAGCCGTTAGCTCTCAATCTTGGTGTACATGTCCACGATTCGACATCCAGGACAAACCACTATCGGTTGGTAAATATCTCAAGATGAATGATATCTCACTGAAGAAATGAATTACTTTCCAGCTTTCAATATGATTCGGTGACGTATTAAAAGATTAAAAGGTATGTTCGTTCCGAGGGAAGGATGAAACATAATTGCCTTCATCTCAAACGTCATCCTTTCTTCTACTGAAGGTTCCGTGCTAGCCGCGGATACCTGCGTGAAGCTGGCCAGGGCACAAAATGCGATAACTCGTGATGCTAAACGAAGTTGACAAAAACCAAATAATTCTGGTGTCTTGATTTGCTGAAAATCCACAATTACAGATACATCCCATATTTATAAACTATACATACATTCAATATAACAAGAAGCTTTTCCAACAAATCCGTCCTCAACGGGTCATAACATTAGTACAAATAATCTTGAAGACAGTGTCCGGGTAGGATGTGAACTCTATTTTCGCTGCAGGACCTTTCTGTTATCCCGATCGCATACGAATCATCTAGAAATTCTAGACTACGCATAAATACTGTGCAAAGCTTCGCGACAATGAGCGCACTGTATGACCTATGGCACGTCCTTATCCTTGACATTGCCTTCAGTAACACCATCCAAATTTTCAGTGGCAAAAACATATGAAACATTGAAAAAGCGTCTAAACTAGAAGAATGTGCACAACCAACATTAGTACTGAGGCTCCTACAGACACAAACCTTATCAAACATACAAAATTGTCTCCCGATAGGTCCCTGCACAAGACTAGAAGAAAAGTGAAATCATGACTAATATTGAGACAGAGAAAGTTGTAAAAATAGCCGATGGGTCTTGGAATGAGTAAAAGAAGATATGAAGCGACAAGATCAGCAAATTAAAAATAATCACAGTGATACTGAATATGGTACGAAGGACTGTCATGAATTCAAACTGACTAAAAGGCAAACGTAGAACACTCATCCCTGAAAACGAAAAAAGAACTAAGAATTCAAACGCGAATCTCCTTAGCAATTGGATCATAATATATCGTTCTGACTGGTGGTACGAATTCTGCTCTACGAGGTTCTGCACTCGGAAATGAGCTCTGAAATCCAAACTTTGCTCCGTATAACATTTCTTTTAGAAAATTTAGATTACCGTGATGTGTCCATAATTCCACTTCATTAACAGTTCCGTAATCATGTCAATTATCGCCTTGTTAGCAAATTGTATATTGATACGGCTGAGAAAGATAAAGTCTAAGCTAAAGTGGAGCCATAAAATAAGACTTTACTTATCAGGCTCCAAGATCCGTTTGTCTAACATTCTCTTGCAAATTGTTTCGCTCAAAGCGGAGTTGAATAGAGGAATGCCGAAAACACAGTCAAGGAGAACATAGTCGGCATAGGTGGATCCTTCTGGCAATGAGCTGAAAGGACGTTTATGGTGAATTTGAAGCAGACTTGGGAGAACGAGTAGAGAAAAATAATTGGGACATGTGCTTACAAAAGCGAAAAAAACTAGAGACCAAGCCATCCCAAGATGTCGGTTCCATTTGCACCTTGTAATTATCCTTTGATTCAACGATATTGGCGGCTGGCATGCGACCGCTCGCGCCCGCGACGCAGTCTGCGTCTCTCTCGCGAAGGTGCTCTCTGATCATTCTCTAGCCTTGATTAGGTCACGAAGCCCCGCCTTCCAGCCGCCAATCCAGTTGAATCAAAGGTATTGCATTCAGTTTCGCACTTATGATCTGCATGTCACTGATATTTCATTCAATCTAATCTGCTCTCATGTCCCATTATCAGCATTGCATACATCGCACATCGAGTAAGGTTAGACTTGATTTTTTAAATTGGCACTGCAATAAGATATTGATAATTTCACGATCCAGTAAGCTTTTTGTAGAATTTCGGTAAGAAATCGGGAAGCCACGAGATTTCCCACTATTGACAACTCGCCTCTAATTTTAGTTCTCAGAATTCGAATTTTCAGTATTATGCATAAAAAAATCCATTTGCGGACGGAAAGGATGTCGAGATTGAGAATAGTGAACGATAGAGTGTCAACAAATTGAACGTTAGTATAACTGCAGAGATTCCCAAGGATTTCGTAAATGTCAGTTGTATATTCTTGAGTTTAGTCTCTTTGACAACTAGTGTTTGCAAGTAGTATGAGGTCACCTTCAAATCTGGGCCGTTCATCCTCCTTACCAGTTTCGCAAAAATACTGAAAAATTGCACAATTTGAACACTGGATTTGACACATTTGCAAATCTCCGCAAGTATTCAAGCGCTGGTAAAAATGCTTCATTGAGAGCTTGACTCTTAGGAATACGAAGCAAAGTTGTATCAAATATACGACAGAAATTTCCTAATCCTCCAATTCTTTTTTATTTCTGATTCGTGTTCGGCAACATTGGCAATCGCATCTACTCGATTTATGAACGAGACAATTTTCGAGTCAATATTTACCTATACCACCACCCAGCGGCAGATTGTACCAATTTGATGGATGTTACTACTTCCTTTAGATAGTGATGTAAAAAAGTAAAAAAGTGGGTACCTGAGGATCATGTGCGAACCTCGCAACATCACATTATCATACGGATTGACTGTCGCCAAATTATTTGTTTTTACATGTCGTGTCACTTTCTGATTCAGAAGCACTATATAACCACATAGATGATTCAATCCTAATTTCGAACAAAGTGCCACAACCGCAGGATGTTTTGCAAATGCACCTGAAAACATAAATTGTTTATGATGATTTTTCAAACCTAAAATCGGGGTGAAAGGGCCACGAAAATTACACTTGCAGTCCTCACTTCCAACCAGAAAGGCAAAGGCGATCGGACAATTTTTTTTTGCATGGGAGGGAAATGGAAGACAAAAAAAGATGTTATGAGAGGAGTGTGGCACCGACCACTTCCCAAGGAAATTTCTCAGAAAACTGAATCTCACGGCGAACTTGTGACTCTGATTCTAGAGAAAAGGAGATGGCAAAAATTGCGCCTCACGTCTTTAAAAAAATTTTCGCAGATCTAAATCTACTAAAAAAAATTAGTTTTATTATTCAAATGCAAACAGTAGGCTGTACAGTTTCGTAATCATCACGTAATCACTCTCACAAAATCCCACGACCCATCCTCGGGAGTGGGAAAGGGGGATTGGCTGAGCATAAACATAAGCAGATATTTCTGCTTCGATCGTAATTTCCACCGCCATAGATAACCGTTAAGTGATTGATTCAACTTTCTTATTCACAAAACAATTCTGTATTTTATACAAATTCATACCTTCTTGATTTGACTCCTCTTCATCGAAAGGAAAAGGTACATAAACGAGCTCATCATCATCTGATTGGTAAGGATATTCCTGAACATTCCATTGATTAGATTCAAAATTTTATTTCGAGGATAGTACCTGCACGAAAAGCGGTGTTGTTAATAAGATATCATTCAGTGGAACCAGTGAGTTGTGTGTCGGCATATGCTGCGGTTCATGAGTCGTTGATGTCACGAGTAATCGCGGTGAATGTGCGACTGCAGATGGAAGTCGTGTCAGTCTCGTGCCCTTCGGAAGGTATACGGATGCCGGACCACTTTCCGCTGCCAAGTAGATTGCTAAGCGCATCCATGACGAACAAGCCTAGGCATAAAAGGTGTTGGTATGCAAGAGTAGCCCCATAGTGAAGCAATGCGAACCTCGGGTATAGGAGGACCGATGAACGGCAGAGAAGATGAAGGCACGGTGCAAGCATCAAAAGACAGCGGCGCCATCGCGACCACGATTCTGTAAAGACAAAACGATCATTAACTATTTGATGACATTGCGCCCATGCGTTGGTTAATCGCGAATCCGTGCAGCAATAGAGAAGTCCAAATTGCGTAAGCTCTAGGCAAATCTGGACTACTCCTCCCCTCCTCTCCAAACGTTCGCTACCTAGGCCACACCATTACGGACAGGCGCATCATATTGTGTCATCTCATCAAAGCAAACCGCTTGGTACCTAATTATTTATTCAAATCCACGACCATAGTCAAAGTCCTGATCGTACTTCAGACTATTCACCTCACCAATTCAAGAATGAACATCAGCATTTTAACCTGCGTGGATTCGCACAACACCTTGCGCATTCTCTTCATTCTGCCGTACCAGAATTTGCGAAAATTTTCAGTGTCGGTACCGCACTTAGGGAGCCTCGTTGGTACCCTAAAATCTGACATATAATGCCGCTTTTCTGAAGCACGTAAGTCCGTCTTCAGTTGAGTCCGCCCTACAGAAAAGCATAAAGTCTTGTCGGATTAGTCCGAAGCGACTAATCCGACAAGACTTTATGCTCCGCCTTATATGTATCGGACTCATCTTTTTTAGCTGCGGGAAGGCCCTTGTCAGATTTTACGGTAACTTTCAGAGCACATAATACGCTCTCGAATGCAGCCTCCAGTAATGGAAATATCAAAGCAAATGTTTCAGAAAAGCAAGGATATCTAAGACGCTCACCCATATGACTTAGCCAATACTCGGATGCGACTCTTTGGATCCAAGCTAAGCAAACTTTCTCCTCTGAGCATATCTACCTCCCGTCCTTTTCGAAGACTTCGAAGAATATCTAAAAGTGCTATAGCATGCTCAGAGTATCGTTGTGCTTCGCCTTCCGCAAAGTGATTTACCTAAAGGACTGCAACTAATCAAGCTGTAACAACATAGAATTGAGGAACAGCTTACACATTCCAAATGCTCCAGAAAATCTCGCATCTGTTCATCGGCCAATTTACCAACTTCAAAAAGCGTGACAGCGTGACCCTAGAATGACAATTTCTGTTAGACATAATATTAGGTGTGTTCAACGTAATTGACCTTGAGAGAACTCGATAAGTTGCCCATCATCAGGAAGGCTGCTAGTGATGAATCAAACAAGAAAGCTGTTCGCGATCCAGAAGATGACACATCAGAAGAAGGCTGTGAAGAAATCTGTAAGACCAACTTCCGGTAAGGTTTTATGAAATGGCTCGCTAATTACCGTCTCTTTAGCGCTTAGGCTGTTTAGCTGTGCTGTTTGTTCTTCGTCATCGTCGTCACCCAGCGGGGACGCAAGGGATGCTGACAACTCGCCTAAGTCACCAGATACGGATGTAACCAGATCTTCCCTAGAACATGACTCTTATCAAATAAGAAAAGTAAAAAAAGAACCAACATTACAAGCGACATCGAAACTAGTCTTAGGTAATTCTTCAAACCAGTCCAAATTCTCCAAAAAGTTGGAATACTTACTGCGTGGGTGAGTTCGGAACGGAAACAATCTGCGCCCAACTATAGTGTAACCGTGCTGTTTCCATTCCGGTAACCCTTTTCCTAGCGAAACCTAACCGACAAAACACAGATATAGCATTGGCAACGAGGTAGAAATCGATGTGTAGCATCTCTGCCATCTGCAATGGAGCAATTTTTCTACAAAATGTAGCGAACCAAACCTCGGACCGATACCTCTTTTACCGTAGTTTGGTCATCTATCGCGACAAAGATCTTGTACAACAATGTCTCAAAATAATCGCCAAGAACACGATTCATAACGAAACCATCCAATGGGGCGACTGTAGTAATAAAGCCCATGCAGATAGAAATTTATAACAAAAGCCTTACCGTAGACGTAGTCCGATTCTACCACTGGTACGTCCAGATAGACCAAGCCACGTTCAAGCAGGGTGTTAACCACTGGTACCGGTAGTAAACCAGCGGCTTGTGGACCTTCATCAAGGAGACAATCCACAATCCGACGCTCATCTTCGGTCAAGATCTGTAATAAGAAACATTTCCGATTGCGGCCGCAGTGAAAACACTTTTACCTTAATATCTGCTTCAAGTATGCTCCCAGGACATACAATCCACCACGGTTCTACGGATAACTATAGTCGCAAAAATTGAACTTGAGAAAATCACCAGTTTTACACCTACCTTGGCTGGTTTTTGGGGTAAAAGCTCTCGCAGAGGACGATTTCGCCGTAGAAACTTCCGATTCGACCTGCGATAATAGAATAAAGACAATGGTGCGAAAAGAAGAGCTAAAATAGTAACTTACCTGTTCTGATTCATCAAATCGATATATTGATTACGTCCTATCCCTAGTAACCTCATAGCATCTGCTGCTGTGAAGTTGGGTAGGGAATCGTAAGACTTCTCCGACTGGATCATGTCCTGAAGAAATGTCACATGAATTCTAATAAGCTGATGTAGAAGATATCTTACCGTTATGATGTTGATGTAGTAATTGAATGCTGTAATTCGCAGCTCTCGACATACAATGTCGGCAAGATGGTATGGGTAAAGCATCAAATGCGACTCGCTGTATTTTATTATCATATCATAATACGTCTCCTCACTTTTCTTGACATGGCGAACTGTAAATGAAAAGTGTTTACTTGGCTTCTCTAAAAACAGCCTAGTAAACTTGATTTGCTAGAGCGTGCAACTGCACATTTATTGAAAGTCATCTCGAGTTAGAGACTTCAATTGGTTCTTCTTGGATCCAATTTGTTCATGATAGTTTTTTGCATGACGGCAACTCCCTCTCAAGAATTTTTTGGTACTTTGTTTATTCCGGTCCGGTAGATTTTATGATCATACGGAAAATGGGGAGGTTGTAAAATAATAGGGAAAACAACACAGAAGTCAAATACTTATAAGGATACCTGCCGATTTTACAGTCTGCATGATAATTACAAAATAGAAAAGCGGTAACTCCCTCTCAAGAATTTTTTGGTACTTTGTTTATTTCCGGTAGATTATATGATCATACAGAAAAGGGGAGGACGTAAAATAATAGGGAAAACAACACAGAAGTCAAATACTTATAAGGATACCTGCCGATTTTACACTCTGCACGATAATTACAAAATAGCAAAGCGTGAGAAAACAGGAAACGATCCCAGTGCTCAACTTACCTAGGTTTCCTTTGTACCGTAACTGATTCTTTATTGAGTACTCCAACACGAGCTTATCGTATTCTCGTTGTGAATTCCCCAACAATACTCGAATGTCCTCCGGGAGCTTCTGCCATACGATATTCTCCCTTATACATGTGTCCACATCCATGTGGTTTGTAGAACGACAAGCGCCTGTTTCTCGCTATACACACAGCGCAAGCCTGCTACACCCTCAACCTGGAGGTAGGAGATATGGAAGCCGAAAGATGAAACAAAGTACATGACAAATGTATGGTGAAAGCCATTGTTCATAAAGCACATAGACAATAGCAAACATTCATTTGCAATGTAAGAAAACATTGGCCGTGCAAAATCGAAGCTCTGCGTTCGAAGAGCTCCACAGTCTACGAAATGCTAAAATAGATGCAGTGGAAGCCTCTTAACCTGAATTAAAGAGAATATTCCTGCGTATAAAAACAGTAGAATAAAACCTACAGACATTAAAAGATGAGACAGTCAAAATCAACAATGTATACCCTTTGATTCAACGGGAATGGCAACTGGGCGACCGCTCGCACCCACGACGTCGTCTGCGTCTCTCTCGCGAGCGTGCTTCGTAGTCACTCTCTAGCCTTGATTAAGCGTCGAAGCCACGCTTTCCAGCCGCCAATCCGGATGAATCAAGAGGTACAATGTATTCATACAGAATGAAAGCGCAACCGAGCTGACTAGATAATAAGAATCAATGCCTATAAATTCTCGAAATCATTGGAGAAACTGCGGTACCGTACCATGTCTCTTTAGACAATGTAAGGCAAAACGATCATGGCGCCAAAACCGAGCTGAACATCCTGGCGCAGTGCATTCCAGCTCTCGCATCCGGAGGTGCTCTCGAAACACGTGTGCATCCATGTTCTTTTTATCTGCATAGCTTACGCCACATTTTTTGCATGCGTAAGGTTTCTCGCCTAAATGATGCAGCACAGCTGAGGATAGGATAATTTATTATCACAGAAAATAATAAAGCTTAGATGCGTATTCATGACAGCGTGAGTTAAGATAAACAATTACTACTAAAATTGAATGACGTAAAAGCTGCCTCTGGATTGCATCATTTGCTACGTTATCGCAATTGTAAAAACACAAGTTTTACGAGAAATGTGTGAAATTCAAAATGAAAGCAGAACGATTCTTGACACAATGGTTTCAAAAACTCACCAGTATGCGCTCGTATATGTCGAACCATGTTGCTTTGCACTTTGAAAGACTGGTTGCAATATTTACATTTATAAGGAGCTTCCAGTGTATGTATGGACCTAAAATACCAGCTTCTTTTCACGTGTATAGCTCAAAGGCAGCATTCAAGCAATTATGGAAGGTAAAAGACGCATACAGATAGTGCATCAAAAGATGGGCAAAACCGACTGGAAAGCGAGGATTACGAAACTTGGTAAAAAAAAAAACTATCAGTGGTGCCAATGCTACTTCTCAAGAATGCAGGAGCTTGTATGAATATGAGTAAAGCAAAACTATACATTTGCGTCACTCGAAGTATAGCAAATTCTGCTTCTACTGTCATGAAATGCTCTGTGGAATCACCACAAGCTTCCATTCAAAAGGGGCAATTCATTTCGAAAACTCTGCAGAATGGAAGGATTCAAAAGATCAAAATCTGTCCAAAGCGATCAAGATAGATAACGGTTACCTGACATGCTTCTCAAGCCCACTTTTCTCTTTTGATCGGTGCTCGCAATAGGGACATTTGAATGGCTTTTCCATCATGGCCTGTAAAGCAAACATATGTACGATCATAGAACAGCGGGAATGGATTAATATCCATAGCAAAAAGATTGTTGTTACAAGACCCCCCCCCCTCCCTCTCCAGCCAGTGAAAGAGATTCACCGCTTGCGCGGAAAGAGTGCTACACCTTTAAATTGCTGAAGTGTACTTGCAAATAAAAGCACACTAACCGTATGCCAGAAAAGTCACTATTTAGCACAGCGTTTTCACACTCAACGCAAACCACACAGACAAGACTGCGGTATGTTATATCAAAACGCCGTTTATAGATAGATCGATGATATGAATGGCTGCGATCGTCACATGACTAATATAAAATCAAAATGAGTCGGCGCAAGGATGCATGAAGCAACGAAAACTGCAGGGAAAAGACAAGCAATGTAGATTAAACTCACTCTCTGATTTCCAACAACTAGCGGAACCGTGACATCGCTTGTTCCTACGATTTCTGGCAAACCGTAACCAAAACTATCTACAGCACTTGTCTTTCGTTCATTCTCTTGGAGAAACGACATTGTGATAGCTGGCACACTAACGTGGTGCTCATCATCAGCTGGAACCAAGATGCATTGAAACAAGGAAATAAAGCTGCAAATGAAAGAACCTACGCAGGGAGATCGTTGTAGCACCTCGTACGACAAGAGGCTGGTATTTGTTGCGAGTCATTCTTGCGATAGTCCTTCGCCCACGCCTGGGACCCATTACAAACTCCTCGTATATTGAGTCGTAATCATCAGCTGCTTGTGCAGTGATTTCTTCAGCTGAGGCGCCATCAAGCATAGAAAGTTCCTGATCTTTATCGGAGGAATCGAGCGAAAAACCTAAATCATTTTGCCAACCACATACATGACTTGTTTTCGATTGCAGAGAATTTCATAAGAAAGAGAGGCTCCTAGACTCAAGAAACTCACTGCGGATGAACTCTTGTTCAGTAACTCGTTCTGCAACCTCCTCACCAGCAGGACTTGCAAAGTTCATATCATACTCCTCTGAAACTTTAGGAATACTATGGTCGAATCAGATACATCAAAGAATTCGCCACGTAATTAATGTGCCCAAAATGCGAATTTCGCATCATATCTGCGAAAAGACCTGTCCCTTTTTCAATGAAACTTCTACGATATGAGCATAACGCTAATAATTTCCGGTTAAACTTGATCAACAGGAAGGAACGTAATGATACCGGGGAACACAAATCTCAAGCAAAAACCACATGAGAGATTTCGAAGAAGGGCAGCTAAACTGAGCAATTTTTCCGTGCAAGGAGGTGATAAGGATTCATAGGCATTCGCACAAAAGATTTTGCAAATACTGTTTGAGAAAGTCATGAAAGCGAAGAGAGATAGCAGCATGAAAATGAGCAGAACTTTTTTACATAAAACAAAACCTGCTGAATCTTTAACGTTGGTTGAAAAACAAAGTTAAAAACAACTTCTGAACTTGAGAGCGCTCAAAATGGCAAGTGGGATAACTTACCGCGACGGGGCACATCCTGCTCCTCGCATGCGACCTGACCAACCTTGTGGTCTATAAGTTCAACGAGGTGATCCATGCCCAGATCAAAAGCGGAGACTCGAAGCATTCTCAATCGTCTTCTTCCAATATCGAGCACTCCAGTATAGGCAAAATCCACCATTGTCTTCAGGTTTTCTCTAAAAATATGCCTCATTAGTGTGATAAGGGTCTAGAAGATGTTCAAACATTACGTGGAAATATGCACATTCCGAGAATCAATCCTAATAGTGACTGTACTGCTGCTGAGACTGCTACTTAAAGCGGCCTCCATGTGCCTGCTATGAGCACACATCAAAAGACGATGACAGCGAATGACACCAAGGCGCTAAACCGCAAATTTGAACAAAAACAAACAAATAAATCAATATGAAATGAGATAGGGAGTTATGATTGGGGACCTACACCTGATATTATATTACAGTCGAGAAATTTTGACTCCTTCCTGAATCTAGCGAGCTGCTCCAAGAATCGAATCTCATGCCAATCGTCATGTACCTCTAGGTCGCTCTCGCTGGTCGCATCCAGCAACTGAACAAACAGAATGAAATCACATATGGAGCATATACATTAAACAACTCATCAAATTAGGAATTTCAATTGAAGGAGCTGCGCCTACTTTTGAAAAAGTAATTCAATGACTGAAACGGCTCCAGCTCTTATCTAGAGCAAATAATTGCACAAAAAGGTCGTAGAACACTTGAAAAGTGTGAGTAAGATTAAAGATGGTAATGAAATTTCGCCAAGAAATGATAGATGAAAAATTTCTGGAAAACAATGAGTGAATATAGACATAAGTTATTGTGCATTGATCAACAGAGATAGGTTTCCAATTCATCCAATGTTTGAAATTGTGGTCTATACTCCACTAATAAAGGTTCGTGCAAGTGACTATAGCTGTCGGAAAAATGTAGATGTAGATCTAACAGATGCTTGAGCATACCCAAGCCACATCTAGAAGATGTGAAAGAGATATACAACTGCTCAATTCGATGCATATCAAGTACAGCATACCAATAACAATTCTTTTCACCTCCTTCAATGCAGCGCAACCAAGAAAATCAGCAGCATGTAGCATTTGTGGAGACGACCGGCAAGTACCCGTATGCAAATAGTCTACCAATTTTCCTAGTGTATCTTCATCGATACCTAAACGTATACAACTGACTCTTTCTCGACGATTCAAAATGTAAGGTTGACTGACCAGTAGCAGAAGTATCAAACTCCAACGTTGCCGCACCAGTTGGAGCTTTAAGCAAAGCATGCTCTAATCTTGGACTGAAAGCCGCTACCAAAAGACGGTTTGTTTGAGCAATTATTTTCCCGTTTGATTCGAAAGTCAAGTCCAGATGCTTCCTGTTCTAAAAGAGGACAATATGATGCAAAGAAATGAGCATGAAGTTCTGAAATCTTAAGTAATCATATGGAACTCCAATACGCAATCAGGAAAAAGATATATTAGCCGCAAGAACAAACTCACCGCACTGGAAATGTACTTGAAGGTGATTGCCGCATGCTCTTCCGGAGTGTAAGGCAGTTCAAAGTCAAGATAGCTGTCATAACCTCCACCTCTCGTTTCCGCAAGAGCAATCGAATCCCGGTTTGATTGTTCTTTTGACGATCCTGCTTCATCCATACCAAAGTAAGAGACTTTCACTTATTTGGTTGGAGGAATGCCGTCGCCCTGTGGCGCGCCTGTGATTACACTACAACGGAAGTTACGCACAAACGCCCCGCCTCCAATGCTTCCAGCGGTAAGAAGGGAATGGGAAGAAGAGGAGTGAGCTGATACATGACTCATATAAGAAATAGTTGGCAAACCTGGCTCCTTCCGGGCCTGTCAATAATATACCTGTAATCAGCATGCTCGATAAACTCCCTGTGCCAACTCCCAGCCCTATAGCTCAAATTTTGCAAAGAAACCGATAAAATCGATATCGATCGATAACGGGAAGTAGCCCATGACACCCACCCTACCCTGAAGTGTATGTGTGCCAAGTTTGGTTCGGATCGGTTCAGAAATGGAATTTTCTATTTGGAACATACGTACACACAGACAAACATACAGACATACATACAGACAAACAGACATTCAGCTTCATATATAAGATGCGCAAGCTTGCAGCCACGGCCCCCTTGTAGGGATGTTCCAAAAGCGCTAGGCTACATAGGGTCCCCAGGAAGCGCATAGGCACTCGCCATAGATCCGCTTGACCCACTTGATCCGCTTGATCCGCTTCGTCATTGGTCAAATCAGTGAACTGACCAATAGCGAAGCGGTTGTTCACTTGATCCGCTTGATCCACTTCATCCACTTGCGGAAAGTACCGATCCAACGAGCTAACTTGCGCGAGTAAGTTGAACGTTGAACACAATAACAGTCTGAAAACTCCAGTACTCTTGGAAGAGTACTGGAGTTTTCAGACTAAGGACTGGAATCCACTACTAAGGTTTTCAGTAGGGACAAGGTTTGAATAGGTTTAGGCTGCCGAAAACAAGAGGACAGCGATGATGACTTGTCAATACACGAACGCTCACGTCTAATGGTAAGCATGTCTACGCATGCTTCTTCGGTGGACGCTGACTCATATGTTTAGGGCGTGACGACGACGGTCAAGCGATGCTCTAGAGGAGATTCTCCGATGCCGAGCCACCGAGTGGACGCTCATCACTCATCCTCTCTTGTCCTCTTTGGACCGCCGCCGTACCACCAGTGCAACACCTGATCTCATCCTCATGATTTGCCTTATTGTATACGTTTATCCCTTTATTAATATTGCTCATATATAGGACTTATCCAATTGAATGTCGTTTGCACCGGCTTCTCCATCTTCGCGCTGGACTTTGCGTCTCTTCCGCAGGGCTGCTCTCTGAGCACTTTCCCAGGGCGAGCGTGGGAAAGGTGGATCAACCGATCACAAGTGGTTATGGAGCGTGTACCGCAGAAGAGACGCAGAGCCCAGCGCGAAGATGGAGATGCTGATATAAACGACACTCAATTTGATAAGCCCTATACGTTCGGTGCTACTTATCTCTTTGGTGCTATAACAGATAAACTATATTAGTACGGATCGGTGTTTCTATCAGTTTGTCAGCACGTTTCTGCGGCGCTACGCTTACTGGTAGCAGCGAGTGGTTCCGCCGAAAGAAGAATAGGCGAGTGGTAAATCCTAAATGGAGCCCTGATGGGCTTCCATCGGTGACTTGGCAGCTCAGCTTCTGAGAAAAGCCTATCGTGGTGGTTCTGAAAAATTTTTAAGGGCTTCCAGTCCTTTTCGGTGACCCAGGGCGCAGGTCTCACGAAACTTTAACATCAATTTTGGAAGTGAAAAAAACAGTAAAACACAAATTTCTTGTCTCAGACGTATTTCCGCGGTTTCTAGTGTAGTCTTATGCCGGTAGTTAGTGTGCACACCTGATGGTGGACGTCCAGTGGAAAATAGAACGCCAAGAAAGTTTCGAACCCAGCGCTCTGCATTGAGAATTTACCATTGTTAAGAGATGTTCTCCCGGCCGGTTGAGTTGAGGTGCGGACCTATGTTTTACAGTTGGATGGGGTTGTTGTGTAGGAATAGCGCAACTATCTGCGCTATTGGTCCATCTTCCTCGCCTTCCTCGCCCCGCCTCAAAGCTCGCCTCGGGGCTATATAAAGCAATATGCCCCGCCCACGAGAGGTTCGGACTTGAGGCAGCTTCGCAGCTGCCTCTTTAATAACATCGTCTCCGAATCTCCGCCCCACCCCTCATTTTTAATCACCCGCTCTCTATTTTAATTCGATCTCTTAATCATGTGTTTATCCCATATTATTTTCCTTTGGTTTATTTGCTTCGTATTTATTCACCTCCATTCTATCGCCGTGTTTATGTAAGGTTGAGCCGAAGCACTAGCTCCTGCTTGACTATTCTTCTTTCGCTCCCACATGTCATTTATCCTATCTTCTACTTGAATATATCCATGCATCCATGCCGCCTTCCTGTTCGCCGTCTGCAGTCATAAATCTTTATGTAATGTTCAGTTCCCTATTGCTTGATAAACGCTTGTAAGAAAGTCTTGATTTAATCTCAAATACCGGTTATGGGAAAATAGGAAGTAAGCGTTACTGGAAAAGTCCAGCTACGGTACCACTCCTAGCTTAACGACAACCTAAAATCATAAATTCGTTACAGTTGGCTTAGGCGTTCGCCCGTTATTGACAGTCGAAGTTGTAGCGCGCGCAGGTAATTTAGCTGGGTGGTAATAATGGTTGTTTGTCCGCACGGTTCTTTCAGCAGTTTTATGCTGATTATCAGATTGCTCCAGCGCAGGGCCAATGAAGATTCCTCAGCCATATCTGAGTGTAAGGCCCCGGTCAGACTTCACGCGATTTGATCGTCGCGACTCAATCGCCGACTTTTCCATTCATTTTCATTTCACATTCAAAAATTTCGGGCTGAAGAAGTATCACAACCGAAATGCAAGTTGATCGGCATGGGATGATGTTGTAACAGTTGTCTCGTCGTGATTCAGTCGCGACGATCAAATCGCGTGTTTGCCCGGGGCCTAAGAAAGTATCAACGATCGATTGCATTTCCCTTGCTATGTAAGGAACATCTGGCGACCCAACTTGGGGTATCACTTTCGAGCACAGCAGTCTCGCCAGATGCTCGGCTAATATTGCCGTATATGGCCTAGTCTGCATATTTGAACCTACTGAGACGGTCGTCTTTTCTGAAATCGCGTGATGCTTTCGATATTCTTTAGCTTTTATATTTTTTCCTCCATCACAAGCAATGTATGTGGTTTAGTATATCTTGCTGTTCCGTGACTCGCACCCCTCCAGTGACCTCTTCCCTAGAAGAAAATCATCTTTTCTCATTATTTTGGTAAAGCGCTAGCGAATGAAAACGGTTTTGCGCAATTGCTATTTATTCAGGACTAAAGCGAATTCCAATTTCAAAATTTGTTGCGTCCGCTTTGCTTTCGTCTCAAAGCGTTCTCATGCGTATGAAGCTCGGCGGTGCCTTTGTGCGCAAGCGCTGTTGAACGGTTTCTTTCGCTCCGTTTCTTGTTCTTTGAAATCAAGCGCCTTAACTATTCGAAATAGTAAATTCTTTGTGTGCCTACAGTAACCCCGTTGCTTTCGAAGCGTTGCGTCATAAGATTTTCTTCCAAATAGGGAATGAGTAAGATGAATCAGCTCTGGTTCGCTCTTTCTCTGATTCGTATTTGTACTTAATCAAAACAAAGCTTTCTCATGTCAAAGGTCAAAACAGCGCACTTTTTCCTCCGCAGCAAGATTAAAAACAAAGATAGCGCCGCTGGGAAAATACCAAGAAGCCAAGAATGCTTACATTTCTGGAATGTTTTGTAACAGTATACAGGGTGTCTCAAAAAATGTATCGAACGTTTGATCGTTAATATCTCTCTTCCCAAGAAGTCTTTTGCCTTGCTTCAGGTACCGTTTTGTAGAGCTGGCTTCAACTTAGATTTGCATTGTAGAACGAATCACTCCTCTCTCTTCATTACTGTAGGATTACGGTAGAAACTTCAAAGAGGGTTTTAAGCAATGAAAGGCCATATTTTGCCTTAGAAAGGAAACAAAACAGCCTGAAAGCTCTTACACTAGGCTAATTCAAGTTGCTGATTATAACTGTAAAGTTCCCAACTTATTATGATGCTTCATTGAAGAGTTATGCCAGGTAAGAAGTAGCGGCCATTTTTTCAATGTTCCTAAAAAGTGGGATTGCACCGTTTAGAAAGCTTCGTAATCTTGTGAATAGTTAATTACTAGCTGGCTTACCCGGCTCCGCCGTATCCGGACCAAACTTGGCACACATACACTTCGGGCCCCGGCGCGTGTCACAGTCCACTTTTCGTTATCGATCGATGTCGATCTTACCGATTTTTATCGATTTTTTCGCAGAGTTCACCTACAGGGCTAGGAGTTGGCACAGGGGGGAAGTGAGCATGGGGATTCCGAATACAATATTAGTTTTCAGGATCGTCCATTACTTTTATCGATTTTATCAATTTTTTTGTAAAGTTTGACCTGCGGGGCTGGGAGTTTGCAAAGGGGGGTAATCGAGCATGCAGATTACGAATACAATATTAGTTTTTGGAATTATCCATTACTTCTATCGATTTTATCGATTTTGCAAAATTTGAGCTAGGGGGCTGGAATTTGGCACAGGGGTGTAATCGAGCATGCTGATCACCCCCTTGGGGATGATCAGCATGCTCGATTACCCCCCTGTGCCAACTCCCAGCCCCCTAGCTCAAACTTTGCAAAAAATCGATAAAATCGATAAAAGTAATCGATAATCCCGAAAACCAATATTTTCGGAATCCCCATGCTCGATTACCCCCCTGTGCCAACTCCCAGCCCCGTAGGTGAACTCAGCAAAAAAATCGATAAAAATCGATAAAATCGATATCGATCGATGACGAAAAGTAGCCTATGACACCCGCCGGGGCCCGTAGTGTATGTGTGCCAAGTTTGGTCCGGATCGGTTCAGAAATGGAATTTTCTATTCGGAACATACGTACATACATACATACATACATACAGACAGACATACAAACAGACATTCAGCTTTATATATAAGACTAGCGACCCTACGGGTCGCTAGTAAGTGGGTGGGGGCAGATACATTGATATCTGGCTGTGTATAACTAAGACAAGAAACAGAATTTCCATCTTTTCACCGACCTTTCGCGTGTCAGTAGTAGTAGAAACAAGACACCATGCTCTTGAGTAAAGAACCTACCACCAATGAC